TTTGATCTGAATTTGATTAGTTTTTGAAGATATGTTGGAAGATCGATCATTAGATTCGTGTTTGATTTCAAGGGTTTTCTCAAGCTCTCGTATTTCTGAATCAAACTGGTCTAAGTCTTACATGTATCCAGAGGATGATGATAAAGCTAGTAATAAGCTCAGTAATGGAAAAAGAGGAGCTTTGGAGGTTGTTGGTGAGATTAGACAAACTAAATCACTTAAGCTAATGGGTTTTTCGATTACGTATGATAGCGATTCTTCTGACTATTCATTGAGTGGGGAAGGGGAAGGTGATGGTTCAGTGAGACAGGAGCAAGAACAATCTGATTCTAACAACAATGGTGGTGATTCATCGGAGGATTCACATTCTCTTATCAATGAGATTGGTCGGGACAATTCGATTGACTGTTTGATCCGTTGCTCGAGGTCTGATTACGGCTCTATTGCTTCATTGAATCGGAATTTCCGTTCTTTGGTTAAGAGTGGGGATGTTTATAGATTGAGGCGACAGAACGGGTATGTCGAACATTGGGTGTATTTCTCTTGCCAGCTCTTGGAATGGGTTGCGTTCGATCCTGTAGAGAGAAGGTGGATGCAGTTACCAACAATGCCTTTTAGTGTTACCTTCATGTGTGCCGATAAGGAATCTTTAGCCGTTGGGACAGATCTCCTTGTATTAGGAAAAGATGATTTTTCTTCTCATGTAATATACAGATACAGTCTTCTCCATAATTCTTGGTCTTCTGGTATGAAGATGAACTCTCCGAGGTGTTTGTTTGGATCGGCGAGTCTTGGAGAGATTGCTATATTCGCTGGTGGCTGCGATTCTCAGGGAAAGATCCTTGATTTCGCGGAAATGTATAACTCTGAGCTTCAAACTTGGATTACTCTTCCGAGGATGAACAAACCGAGGAAGATGTGTTCCGGGGTTTTCATGGACGGGAAGTTCTTTGTAATTGGGGGAATTGGTGGTGCTGATTCTAAAGTCCTGACTTGCGGTGAGGAATATGATTTGGAGACAAAGAAATGGACTCAAGTCCCTGACTTGTCGCCTCCAAGAAGCCGTGCTGATCAAGCTGATATGTCACGAGCAGCAGAAGCACCGCCTCTTGTTGCGGTTGTGAATAACCAATTGTACGCTGCTGATCACGCTGATATGGAAGTGAGGAAGTACGATAAGGAGAAAAAGAAATGGTTAACTGTCGGAAGATTGCCTGAAAGAGCTGGCTCGGTTAACGGATGGGGACTTGCTTTTAGAGCTTGTGGGGAGCGGTTAATCGTTATAGGTGGACCGAAGTACTCGGGAGGTGGGTTTATAGAGCTGAATTCTTGGATACCGAGGGAGGGTGGTCCACCACAATGGACATTGCTCGATAGGAAACATTCTCCTAATTTCGTTTACAATTGCGCGGTGATGGGTTGCTAAAACAACACACATTTTATAATACTCCATTTGAAGACCCTCCAGATTCTTGTTGATGGGTTTAAGCTCACAAGTCAAAAGACTCCATTGAAGGTTCCAAGCTCCAACCTTTATGCTTCTTCCTTATTTTGTTTTTCTTACAAATTATTCAATTTGAATACAATCATCTCTGTATTGTTAGAGACCAGACAAACTCCAAAAAGAAAAAGAAAAAAAAACTGAAACAGGGTATAATAAGTTCGTTAAAAGTTGAAGCTTTTTTTAGAGTTTTCCAGATCTGGTTAACATTGTTGTATGTGTTATTATAAATCTATTTAATCTTGCTTTTGAAAACTCTTATTAATGTTTGTAGCCATAT